ACCGAGCAGCCCGCAATACACAATAATGTTAGCGACTGGGGTTCTTTATACTTGTCATCCATTCCTGCTTCACGGAAGGTCTGCTTTCGCCAGAGGAGTTTTTCGAGGTCATCGCCCTCCGAGGTCACAGTAGAACTGCTTTATTGCTGGACACCCTCTGAGTCAATACTTGATGTAGCCAAACCAGATGCTTGTGTTTTCACCGTGGGAAAGGTGATTCATCTACCAAGGGAAGCCGCAAGTAATCAGATACAAATTGGAGACGTTGTGTGCGGCGTTATGGCGTCTGGACGAGTTTCTCGTTCCGTTCCCATGCAAGTCAGGAACATTTTTGTAAAGCCAGCTATTTTGACGCAAGAACAAGCAACATACATCCCTGCCTGCCTTGCCATAGCCTTTCACGCCCTACAACGGATAGGAACGATGGAAGAAAAGAAGAAGTTACTGATTCATCAGGCTCACCGTGGCCCTGGGCCTGTGGCAGTTGCCCTTGCAAAAGCATTGGGTCATGAAGTATTTTGCACTATCTCAGATACTTGTCAATCGGTGACAGAATCCACCCTTCTAGAGCTGGGAGCAAAGAGTGTAGCACATCAGAGTCTCACTAGTTTTGAAAATGATTCCATCGACGCTTTTGATGCAGTTTTGTTTTTCTACCCACCCTCTCCGAACGCTCTCCAAAAAAGCAGTCGACGTCTTAAACGTGGAGGAAAAGTCGTTATCTTGGGAGCCGAATTTGATGGTGCCGTCGTGTTCCCTGCAAAGAAAAACGTCCTGTATGTAAGAGAAAGCATTTCAGATATCATACGATCATCGAAGACTTATCAAAAGCTCAGCTTAGAGAGTCTAGAGCTGCTGAAAGGTAGTAGAGTTCTGCAAAAGCTTCTGGAACTCAAGTTACTATCGACAGACATACCCACGGCAATTGAAGCTGCAAACAAAGCCACTCTGAAAGACTCACCTCCAAAAAGGGTCCTGAGAGAATTTCGAGGCATTTCTTTTCTGGTTCACTCTTTTGCACCATCTGAAGGAGGCAATGATCTTCTAACGATCCCCGTGCTTCCACGAGGTCTGGATGTGTGTGGTCTCAAAGAAAACAGAACGTACTTGGTGGCTGGGGGGACCAGAGGATTCGGATTTGAGGTGGCGCGTTGGATGGCCGAGAATGGAGCAAAGTCTATAGGACTGATTGGTCGTTCCAAGCTCTCAGATACCGAGTATCAAAAAGTACGAGATTTAGAGACGAAGACAGGTGCAAAGTTCTATACGTTTCAGGTAATTTGGTGCGTTACCTTTATGGTAGTTAATAGTCAAACGGTTACTACTTCATTTTCGCAACTAGAAATGCTAAGTTGCATTTGTACAATAATTGGAAAGTAACTTTACCTGAAGCACAACGCACGCCAAGAATTTTAAAGGCTGTTTTCTATTTTGTTTTTATAGATTGATATCTCCAGCCGAGAGCAAATGTTTTCCTTACAAAAGCAGCTCCAGTCTCTTCCAAGTGTAGCTGGAATAGTACATTCTGCCATGGTTCTCCGAGACGAATACATCAAAGATTGGAAATTTGAAAGTTTCACGGAAGTTATGGGTCCTAAGATCAAAGGTGACTATCGGCACTACTTCATATCGCATACTTTAATATTTCCTTTAACATCCTTTGTATATTTGATTGACCCAAAAAAATTGAGTTATACCTTTCAACACTTATAAATATCAAATAATAATCATTCAACTTCTAGTCTGTGTTTGTTTTCCATTTCATCTTGTATTAATATATGATAAAAGTGCGATGAAAGTGCACCTAAACACACACGATCATACCTGTTTACCATAGGAGAAAGTAGCCCAAATTAACTACGAAAACTAAGTGTACCTGAAGATTCAAAGACACTTGAGCACTATCAATTACTTATTCTCATTTCTTTAAATTGGATTGTGTATATATTATTATCTGGATAACGTATTACGTAACATATCTTGATTTTATGAATGAAATGGAAATTGTAAGTGTGATATTTCTTCTAGGTTCCTTTTTACTACACCAAATGAGTTTGGAGATGGATCTAGATTTCTTTGTTATGTTCTCATCTATGGCATCTGTTGTTGGAATCGTGGCATCTTCGTCATACTCAGGCTGTAATGCTTTCCAAGATTCTCTTGCCCAGTATCGAAGACAGGTACTCGGTTTGCCCGGACTTTCGATAAACTGGGGACCAATCAGTGGAGCTGGTGTGATGGAACGGCAGAGTAATATTGCAAAATTGATGGCAGTTGGAGGACTGGGCTTCATAAACGCCAGAGATGGTAAATATGATTTTTTTAACACGCTAATAGTGGTTTTGTATATGAATTTGATTATTCTCATGGGTAATAATTAATGGATTTAAAAGACAAAAAAAATATAGCGTTAAGAATAGTGAAAGCAAATGAAAATGAACATGGCTTTCATATAGTTTGTGAGAGAATAGTTGCGTCCACTGCTCTTGATGCTACAAGGTAAGCCGAGGAAGAGAAATGAGCGTTTTACAAGCGTAGATGAAGAAGCGGTTCACTCCGGGTGATCGGCAGCTGACGGTTTTCAGCCAGTAGACGACATTCTTTACTTATCAAAACGTAAGCCACGTACTGGAATTTTTCTCAAAGTACCCAGTCTTACCTATTTCCCCTGTATGAAAGGTGACTGCTTTTTGTAACTTAAGAGAAAAATTGTTTATCAGTAGTTTCCATGGAAGATTTTCGATTACTTTTCAGGAGTCAATCTGATGGCCAAGGTTTTGACCGAGGAGCCGAGCCGTTTCCAAATCTCTTTATTTGGTGTGGACTGGCCTCGGTATATTAACAGTAATACCGGACTACAAAATACGCCCCGACTCTCAATGTTCACCTCAGAAATCAGTGTTTCTGAGAGCCAAACTAACACAGCAGAGTCTTTACTGCAAAGAATTCGGTTAGAGAAGGACCCAGATAAGAAAGGCGAACTTATCGTTGAGTATGTTCGCATCTCGGTTGCGGAATTGACAGGCAGTTCATCGCTTTCAGAGACGGATCTAAACAAAAGCTTGTATAGCTATGGTATTGACTCCACTGCAGCTTTGACTCTGAAGATGCTGCTTGAGTCAAACTTGCAGGTCTCTTTTGAGGTGTGTATGTCATTAGATAACTGAAAAACAATGAATTTGTAATTTTCCCAGCTGGTACATTTAAGAAAGTCCCGTTGGAATATCCTTATACGTATCTTGTAACCAAAATGTCTTTTAGTTTGCATAGCAGCATTGTTCTAGGAAATACTCCAATTAAGAACAATTCATTTCGATTCAAATGAGAGACGATTCTCTTGAACCATCGATACTACTAAATACACCCCTATATACCCATATAAGGATCATGCCCTCATATGTGTGGATGGTTTAATCGAATGAAAAGTTTCTATAATCATTCTTCGTACCTGGAAATAGTGAATATTTAATCAAATTTAAACGTACGGTAGTGAATTATGTTCAATCGAAACGTCGATGCATGTGAAACTTGTAATTTTTGAAACTCTTGTCTTTAGGTTTACTACTTCATGCAGCCTGACACTACTACACTAAAAATGGCCAAGGACATCAGTGCCAGGCTTCGTGGAAAAGCAAGCAGCCCGCAGAATAGCGAGAGCCAAGAAAGTGCACCCGGACAAACTCAGTCATCGGAGGAAACAAATACTTCAGACATGCCGTCCAAGAAGGAGGTTCAAGTCTTACCTCTTTACACTCCTGAGGGATCAGCAATAAAATTCTTCTGTGTTCACCCTTCACATCGCTACGCGTTGAATTTGGTTCCCATTTCTACCGGATTTCAAGGACAGGTGCGTATCTGACCGTTTTTTTCTGAATTTATTTAGCCCCTCAGCCAATGATATAAACATCATTTCAACATCTTTTTTTATCAGTCACTTTACATTTAGTTGTACAGCCAAAGAAATATTTTGCTGTCGTTGTTATAGTTTCAAGGTAATGTGAATCCTGTGGTGACCATAAGGCCGAGGTCGCTTCTCAACCCAGATCTTAGAAGATCTTGAAGTTTTAAGTATCTGACTCTTTAGTATTCCTCGCTTGACCCGGTAGCGAAAGGGGCTAGACAATTATTTGACGCAGTTTACAGGGGTCACATATTCTGGAGATGATAATGATTTCTTCTCCTCCGGATCAACTCCATATTCTTTAAACTTCGTTGATTTGGGCTTTCTCTTGCCCTTTATAAAAGTACACGTCAGAGGTTTCAAACACTTTCATCGTGTGGCTCGCATCTTTTATTCGTCTTTACTAGGACTTAGTATCCTTTTATGCTCTGGGCTTTACTGATCCTACGGTCATCAGTGAGGACTGGGGTGGAGTGCGTGAGCTTGCCGCTCATTACGTTCAGCTGATCACCAACGAACAGCGCCATGGACCGTACTTTCTCGGGGGATATTCATATGGAGGACTTGTAGCGTACGAAATGGCTTCCCTGTTAACAGAACAGAATCATAGGGTGGAGTTCCTTGTAATGATTGACACATTTCCTTGGTCACTGCGTTCACGGACCATAACCACTCGGTTATTTTCCGCGAAGGAAGACGGATGGTTGCCATCGCGACATGTTCAGGTTTGTTAAACATTTCAAAGTTGTGTAAATCTTTTATGTTGTTTTAAATTGTTTTCATTGAAACTAGAAATACCTCACTCATAGACATCTTCATAAAGGAAATGAATAAATTTTAGGATTTTTGTCCTTAATTGAGGATTTGTGGACATATTGTATTACCCATGCCTCATCAGGTGAATTTATGTTTAGTGTGACTCTTCCGATTTCTTTGTTCGTGAACTCTGCGTAAGGAATGCTTTTTCAAGGAATCATGATTTATACGGGTGGATTTCAAATTCGTAGAGAACAATAAAACATTATTTGACGAACCCAAAAAGTAAGGTAAAACAGAGGAATTTTCTCCACGGTGTTAAGAGAATTATCCAGGCCTACTTGTTAACCACCCGTTCCAATCGGTGTACCACTTTTTGGAGGCGTTATCTGTTCCTATTCTAATATTTAGTGCCCAAGAAAAATTAACATATGCTGTCAATCTCTCTATTCAGCTCCAATTCGAAAGCTACTTGGAAAAGCTTGCAGTAGACTCCCTAAAGATGAATGTTGACGAATATAAACAAATTAGAGATACACACACTCAAGACTGGATCATTGATGAGTTGCAGAAAAGAAGCCTTACGAAAGGTCTTACCACCTACAATTTAAGGACCCTAAGAGAAGCTCTTCTGAGGAATCAAACCTTTGCCAATAGGACGCATCAAGAATGGCAGCCTGCTGAAGTAAGAGGCACCCTTACTGAATGCCGATATCCATTAATTGTGTTTTAAGGGGCAAGTTGTCCAAATGCCCTTTGGTCAACGAGAAGAATATCAAGCCATGAGACATTATCAATTTATTGGAAACATACTAAGTATTAGTAAATAACTTAAGTAAACTTTTTCATGCTTTATGTTTAATAGGTTCGCTATCGAGGTCCTCTCACATTCCTCAGATGTCAGAACAGCAGATTTTTCCCCCGTAATCCCACATCACGGGGCATCGGGGAAGAATGGAGTCAGTTGGTAGATGAAGGTACCACAGTACTCGTGTGCCCTGGTGACCACTACTCCTTAAGTGAGTTACCTCAAGCACAAGTAACTGGTGGTATCCTTGCAACAGCCCTGGGCTTCACCTACCGCATGTTGTTTCCAGAATTCCCCACACCTCCCAGAACGTTCAACCAAAGACGTGCCGTGGGGAAACTTTCTGGCGGTGTAGGCGTGTTCCTTCACTCAAAAAAAGGTAATTTGAAAAGGGCCTGTCCTCCGCTCGTTGTTTGATGGTATAATATCCTCTTTAAAGGTGTATTCTAGATTTTGGCTGCTTATATGGCTCCTCTAAAAGTCATCGTTTTAATGAGAATGAGTTTGTCACTCGCTTTGTAACTCCCACTCCTGAGGCCATTTACATTGTTTTTGCAGTGTTATAATTGGCCCATGCGGTATTTTCTATTTTTTATTTTCATGGCTGGCCATTGTCATCTTTATGCTTTTGGTCCAACTTCTTGAAATCGCAAAGTGTTGTATAAAAAAAAAGGTTTACAAGACAAGTGCATAAACTTGATATTTTGCTTATTGTTTCTTTCTTTACAATGCACGAAATAAACTGTCAGACATCTGCCTCAAAACAAGATTTAGACATAGACAAACGTATCCTGTTTGAATCTCATGGGTAACAAATTTCTGTTATACTAGGCAACAAAATGCCGCATCATGGAATGCTATTTTTCCATGAAGATGCCCACAAACTTGAGCTGAGATCAAAACCTGGCGAAGAAGAAGGAATTCAAAACGAAAAAACTAAAAAGATCATTGATCTGAAAGGTAAATATACTTTTTAGTCTACACATCTTTATCAATCTTTTTGTCCTTCGTGAATATTTTTTCTTGGGACGAATTCCCTGAGATAGGAAACATGCTTCTTTGTCAAAAGAAGATCAAGCGCTGAAACCGAATCCCTCATACAGGTCTTACCTCTCCGAAGTTATGTCTAAGATCTGGACATCGGGTCTCTTAAGAAGAGTGTCGCATTTATTTCGTATTTTGTTTCAATGAATTTATCAGTGGAGATCATGCTGGGTTAACTGATTTGGCAAGGAAACGATTGAAGAATTACTTGAGAGGGAATACCATAGCAATAACGCCCATGTGGAAGTTAAAGTCCCTCAACTTGATCCTCTTCTATTTGTTTACCCAATACTTTCAAGTTAAAGATGAGGTCTGATACCTGTCAGGTTGTTATCTTTGCTTTTGGCGAGATACTCGACCTTCACTGTCACACTTAGCCCTCATTCGGACGCCCTGCACCCCGTGACACAAAGAATACCATTGCTGTCTTAGGGAAATTTGAAAAACTGCAGGGGGTGGTCCACAGAAGAGATCGAGGTAATTCTAACTCCAGACTCCAGGCCCTATCCTTAAGGATTATTTATTCCTGCAGCATGCGCATGCATTACAGAATCTTGCTTATAACTCATGAAATTCAACGTTTTTCAGAACTTCGCATGGTGCAGCCGGGAAGGTTTGTCTCCAGTGCCCTGAAGTATACCTGGCGAAAACGAAGAGTTGGAGGTTATGAAAGTGGAAATTTGGGACACATTGCTTCTGTTGCAATCAGTCGCCGCGTGTATAATTTGGAATTTTGTGATTATTCCGACTTGAAAGCGTTTTACGATATGGTAGAAGCTGTGTTCGCTGTCAAGCTATTGACTATCTAGAAATGTAGTCGTGATATTCGGTAGTATTCAGGAATGAATTTGCTAGTTTGAAGTTTGAAGTATCAGTGTCAACGGACACTTAAAATTTAATTATAGTTTCTACCTTTTTTATCCGGCCTACATTAAGGAACTGTGCTCAAAAAACATCGATAAATAGATGAAGAAACCGTTTTTCAACTTAGATTTGACATGTTAATCGCATCCTCGTTCGACGACCACTCCTCATCCTTTGCGATAATATCGATAGATAGAATATAACGTTTTGAAATATTTTTTATTGGAAAAGTTGAGAAGCACTGGACCAATTTATGAAAACGGAATGATTTAATTGACAAGAAGCTTGCGTAGTAACCTTTTCCTCAGTTAAGCCAAACAAGAGAAGTGTTGGCTGGGCAAAAGTAATGTGCAGGCTTGGATGAAAACTTCCTATCGCCTTTTTATTTTCCTCCCCATTCCCTCTTGTTCCTTGTGCTTGGACAAAAAGAAACGGAAAAACGAAACTTCTGCAGAAGCATGAATACCTCGTTATTGGAACTAACTTTCATCGTGTACGAAACCTTCAAATTTACCTTTGGATGATTGAATTTTAAAAGAATGTCATACACTTTCCTTTTTGAGGCCCCAAATTTGGGTGATAATAATTCTGTAAACTTGATAAACTTCATCAGGATGTTACAACAAACAGACCTTTTTTTTTTTTTGTTTCATAGCCTCACTTGAGGCTCTCGTTTCCTTTCTAATAGGTAATAGCGTTTCATTGGCCCTGGTATGAATACATTTAATAAATCTGTAACATGCAAATTTTTTCATAGTCAAATCAATAATATTCCATTACTGAAAAGTGTTTTGATTAGGTAAGACATACAAATTTTTTAAAACTTAGGTAAGCTGAGAACAAAAGCCTTGAAGATACCGCTGCAAAACGATGAGGTCTTAGACTGAATTGTTTTAATTATCAATAAAATTGTATAATTTTTTAATCAGAGATGTTATCTATTATTTTCAACTAAATAAACAAATCCATATGTTGGGGTCTGGACCGCAAGTCTTTGAAGTTTACCTGTGTACAGAGGTCACTTGTACATAGAAGAGGCGGTCACCCTTTAGATTCCCGAATCCAAAATGTCACCATCATTATTTACCTGAACATAACGGTCACCGAACTGGATTACCATTAGCGAATCATGACAAACTTTATGTCACGGCTTATTATTAAAATTGTAGCTATTGGGGTAGGGGTCTCACTGAATACAACTATAGATGCTACATGTCATTGCTTGTGACCAAAATATGCTCGCGACATAATCGTTTTCAAACAAAAGTTCCCCTCTCATAACTAAAGTAGGAACCGTGAGAACTGTATTTTATTGTGAGGAAACTCAATGGCGTCCTACATGGGATCAAGTTTCGCGTTCTGAAATCTCAGTAACCCATAACATATATGTTTTCGTCATGAATAATCTTTCATGGTAAGTATGAGTGTCATTGTACGCCTTTCCTATAACGAAACTCAGCAAAAACTTAAATAAACTCGACCTCCATAAAAGTCCGGCACAGGCGGGCCCTTTCTCTTATTTCTTGTGTCGCTGTTAATTGTTATTGTTAACAAAATGCGAAAGAGTAATTATCTTTACATAATTTTTAAATGTCTGTCAGTATGCGGCACCCTTATATAAGGGTCACCTAGCCATTTCCCAAAAGTAACCGTTATATACAGGTTGACCATATACATAGATACAGTTATTTTCCAAAGCGTCCTTGACGCGCCGGTGGAATGCGTCAATTTCGACTTTGTGTAATGTGGTAAATGGGTCCGCAACGTCGCGTAGCCAAAGTGGTGTCGTTTGTCAGCAAGTAAAAAGGGAGAGTTCCATGTCGTTCTACATCACAATTTCTACGACAACAACGGAAACTGGCGCCCTCATGGCTGTTCCATGTAGCTGTTGTACCGATGATGAACAGGGGGTACCCTTGACCTAACGATCGCTTTATTCCTTTACAGGAATAAACATCCCTCCCCCCATAGAAGAGCACATTAAAATATTATTATAGACACCGGGTTCTACTTGAAGAGTTGAAACATTTCCTGAAAATTCACAGCTGTACCACTAAGGACGGCTAAATGTGAAAGATGTTAAACAATAAAAGTAGGTCCATATCATATTCTGGGAATATGAATGGAAATAATATAGTAGCATAAATCATTCAGTTAAAAGAATATTGTAAGCAGTTGATAATTTCCTTTTTCGATGGCGATCTTACCTTATAAGTAGAATAATTGTTATCTGTTCTTTCTGGGAGAAAATAATCTACATAGCTACACAAAAGTTTGTATTAAACTGTTGACATATTATCCTATCGCGAATTTGACATGAAAGCAGATGCTCAGTTTCTACAGTGATTAAAACTTACCGTCACGTATTTCATTATCTGGCGGTAGGATATATTTCAATTGTGATTATCCACTCGATGAATGAGAGAGTAATTGGATCTGGTAATAGTTTATCTTGTACAGGAATTTCTTGGAAATTCCTCCTTATATTTTCGATTTTTCCAGGCTCGTTTCGAGTTAGTTTCATGTCGAATTCCCGATCAGGAAAATATTTCTTAAATTTCAATTTAGCATGCACAACACCTCCTTCTGCCAGAGGTGGCTGTAACTGTAAACAGCTTGCCTTACATCTTCCGTACTGAATTTTAAATTAGATAACTTGTTGTAGCTTTTCTGGGGGCGGTACTTGTGTGCGCCCTTTCTTCTCCGAAGTTTCTGTTAATTCTGTTGTTATGTAACAGTCTTCTATGGCTATTTTCTCTTAAGATATCTTTCCAAGTATGATTATAATTCTTTCAATAAGTTTATTATAATTTTCATATTGCCAATCTCGTTTTCGTTTTACCAGAGTTTAGCTGGAATCATAAGAAATTTAGGGAAGACATTTTGACGAGATTCAACATCTCGAAGGTACATGCTTAATATGCAGGAACTGTTCCTCGTAGAGTAGCCTGATTCGCTAACTAAGAAAGAAAAGATGACGATATCTGAGGATTGACAGCTTAGCAAGTGTCACTTTTATAAGCTGACGACCAGCATTCTCACTCAGATCTGAGCTAATTCCCGAGGCAATAAGTTTTACAAGAAGAACAGAAGAAAGAAGTTGTTAACTGTTCGTGGAGTGTTAGTTAAATCATCTAACAAAGACAATCTTTTCTTAAAAGACTTCATAATGGTTCATAACTGCATAACTAAGAGATTAGCGCCAAGCTACTCAACCAAAAATTTTACTGATAATTTTACTATTAGCAATAGAATCACTCGAAACCTAGCTTATGTCTACTTAAGTGCAGACTGTCTACTGATCAGTCGTCTTTCATTTTCAGAGGTGCCAAAAACTTTACACGCATTCCCAATAATAATGGGGATCAACTGCCTCACCACCTGATCTCAGGGGCACTTATTTTACTATCTCGATTTTTAACTTGTCTAGATCGTAATCTTTTGTAATATAGGTAATTTATTATTTACCACTGCTGTTGTCTTCTGTACCTTCCATTGGTTAAAATATGGGGTCAGAGGGAGTTTCAATACAGAAATACCTGCCAACATAATGATTATCCTCCAAACATCAAGTAAATAAGAATGCAGGATGAATTAAGGATTAATCTTAACCACCATTTTAGCCAACACGAAACATGCACAATCATGATGTAATTTGATGGTAATAAGTCAATGTCTGGTATCTTATATGTTTTGCACCAAGGCAATATTTTTTATGTTAAGATGTAGACATCCTTTTCAAACATGGCTTAGCTTATTGATTTACTACTTACCAAGTTCATTTCTGTCGCCGAGAAAAATTTCTCCATCGATAGCAGAAAATGACACGCGCGTGTGATGGCGATTGCCAATCTTGCCACTCACACGTTTCAAGACATGGTTATAAATATTTATCAAATGTCAATCATGATTAACAATTATTCCATGAGGTGTTTTGGATATAAGATGGTAAATAGCTATTGAGGCGTGTAGCGACGAGTTGGCTATAACCAATCACGTATCTAACTAGCAGAAATGGAGTAATTGTTTTGTAAAATTTCAGCGATTCCTAAATGTTTGGATGTTTCCTTTTTTCAGCTCCGAAACACTTGGCAATGTATTTCCATGTAAGGTGACTCAGATTATGAGCTGGTAGCCTCATAAATTGCATGGTTTAGTTTATTCGGATTTTTATCATTAAGTGTAGTAAATGCCACTTACTTATTGAGGATCTTTTTAAGGTTTGAAACTGTTGGATAGTATTCTGTTATTATAAAGGACAAGATTCGATTGTTTGTTTTCCCTGTCGGAGGAGGGCCCGTTTACGTCCTTTAAATTTCACTTCAGGGAGTAGGTTGTCAGTAAAATTTTTCTAGTAGTCTGTCTCAGCCAGGTATGCTTTGAACTGTCTAATGTTCTATTCAAATTTTCCTCTTGAAGAAGTAGTCTTGGGGGGTCGTAACGCTTCGCCTTCAACGAAGCCTTTCTTTGCTCCTGGTAGGTGACACGTTGTGTAGAATTGTGTACTTAGATGCATCTGTTAGTTTGAAGTGGGTTCTCATGTCGAAAACTGACTCCTTGTTAAATCTTTCACCCTTAGGGATAGTAGCTTCTAAGAAAGTAGTTTCTAAAAGAGACATTTCAGATGTAAATTTAATTGTTGGGTGGGGTTTATTCGCTTGTCCAAAGAACTGGTTGACGACATATCTGTTAGTGTGAAAGAAAGAAATTATGTCGTCGATGTTGCGTTTCCAAACGAGCACCTTTATCTAGGATATGCAAAACTAAAAGCTACTGCCATTTTGGGGCCCATGGCGATTTCGTGCGTTTGCAAGTAAATCTGTTCGTTGAATTGGGATAGGTTTCCCTGAAAAATTAGCCTAAGTGCTTTCTCTAAAGTAAGCACTTTGGGGCGTATATTTGTGTTTGAAACCGTAACGTCCATGGAAACGAGTACCACCTCTTTTGGAAACTTTGTTTTTTCTATGAAGTTGATGAAGTCCGTTGTTTCTTTGAGATAGGATTTCTGTTGTTGGCTGAAAAATTTTATCTGTGTAACAGGATAGTTTCTCTTGTAAGTCATTCCGTGGCTGGAGTTTTTGTCTCACTCAAACACACCGAGGAACAACTGTTTTTATGCTGGCTAAATACGCATTAAGCAGTTGTGATTTTCTGAGTCTAGATTATCAATATTGTAAAGGCTCTAATTTGTCCATCAGGTGGCGGTGAGCTGGAGTAACTTGGGTCTAACCCGGTGAGATCGGGATGAAATTTTCATCCCGGCAGGATTGCGGAAGGGAGGGAAAACCAGCGGACGGAGGCAGGATTGGAAAAGTCTACTTTTTCTTGTGAAGTTAATGTTCCTAGATGTTAAAGTCTTGTCTCATGAGACAAAGATGTAATGAAAACAAAGTTGAGCACACTCGTTTATTTTATTATAACCTTTCTTCATAAAAACATTCAGGCCGAGATCAACCAAAATTTCAGAAAAATGCTAAGAACGTACTCAGGCTGAATGTTTACCATATTTCTTGGTCCTAAATCTGGGGACGGCGAACTCCGCTACGCTTAATTAAGTTGCAAGGTGAACAATAGGCGTGAAATAGCTCGCATAATATATTGGGGCATAGTTTATGTTTCACCTTAAACATAAGGATAGCAATATCTTCCAGTCTTCTGTTCTAAAGCGTCGTTAGATCACTCTTGTCCAGTAATGCTTTGTAGCTTGATTGCTTATCCAGGAAACCTGTGCTCTTTCTTGAATCCGTT